GGGTAACATGGGTCGTGGAGATCGCGAACAGACTGAAGATATGTCCGGTTAAGCGTTAAACCTGTGTAATGTAGCATTACCGCTCTTGTCATCGCTGAATCACCAGCTTCAAGTAGGCATGCAGCTACAACCCAACTGGCTTAAACGATCGATCTAGAGTAAATATCGCTATTCGTTATAAAATACGGCTTTCAAATCAGTCATCCTTGCGCACAAATGCTATTGACATACTGAAATTAGCAAACACCAATTTCGGCAATAGATTTAAGTCGTGTCATCGGTTTAGAAGGGCAATTGATCACTTGGCGAAACTCACTTTGTGTTTTACAATTATGATGAATGTAACTCCGGGGTAAACAAACAGATTGGCTATTAGGTGACAATGGATGCTCAGTTTACGACTAGCTAATGTCTGATCACCGCAAATCGGTTCTTGTGGTTTTTACGACATTAGATGAAAATGAATCTTCTGCCGCAAATTTTGGTTTCATGGCTACTTTATGGCAATATTCCGAAAGCAGACATCGGATAAATATTCCAATTGACATATACTCTATATGTAAGATACATTAGGCAGTGACGCGTTCTGGAGTCATTGTATACTTAAAACACCAATATAAAGGAAGTTCTAAAGATAAGAAAGTCCATCAATGTGGCCCACGTGCTACATTGGGTTAAGATCCTGCAATTCGCTTGGCAGAGTGCCATCCTCGTGACTTGAGACTTAATGTGGTGTTTTCCGTCAGGAAGTGACACACTGCATGCGAAGTCGTAAATGCAATGTATTCATCTATATTTTAAAATACGTATGTGATATTAGTACATAAATCACCACTAAACAGAAAAAAATGTATGTGTGAAGAAAATATGAACATAATCTAATGGGAATAGAAACAATGAAAATGATACAGAAAAGCTATTATTCCCAAATAGACGCATACGTCCGTGTGTGTGCTGGCGCTTGTCAAAACAGCTATTTATTTGTTGTGACTATGGACCAGTCCTGCCACACTTAACAATAAATGTGATTATGATCATATAAATTACGAAGTCAATGGATAAAATACCTGATCTACTCAAACACAAAAAACATAGATTACATATTGTTTAGTTTCTATCCATATATAGTTAACTCGTGAAATATATGATCATGAGAACAACTTAAATTGGTATGGTCTTTGAATGGTATTTAGAAGTGATACACATTTATGGATTTCAATTTCTGTATTATGAGAAACACGAAATGAAGGTTTGAGAATATTCTTAAGAATAACAGAATCTGAAGTACATGTACATACAATTCTCATCCCTGTTGTTTTGAGAATTCTCTTAAGAGCTCGATTTACATGTTTGACTAAAGTGTGTATATATTGTCAGTTAAAGTCTGAAATTAGCACAAGTATGGGAGCTTTGCAGAAAGTGGACTTAGTTACGTTACAGAAGCCCACCCGAAGTACACTTTCAACATCACTCCACAATGATAAAGAGCCAGTGATTCGACCAAAGGCGGCAAGTTTTGCACATGCTGTCAAACGTGTTTTTGATATGGCATTTACAACGTTAATATACGTTTAGAAAAAGAAAATCAGCAGTTTCAAGAAGTCGAGTTTGCTCGATGTACTATTACAAAAACTGTGCATACCATGAGAAATCAACACCATATGGCATTTCCACATATATTTTATTTAGTTACAATTAGTTTCAAAATTCCTTCTCATTCCACTCTGGCTATTTAAAGTTTCCTAATACAGGGGTGGGCTATGTACCAAATACAAACAAGACACAAGTAGGTGAATATATCACAAATTTCATTATGTACACATTTCGTGACCTAAATATTGTATTTTCCAAATAGGTAAATGACATTCCGCGAGGCTGTAATGCATTATACCTTGTTGAATTATTAGGTTGCCTGTTAAATTATGCAAGTATTCCCATTCATCACAATTCCTCTACAACTGTGGCATGGCATTTCTAACAAGTGGGGAATTATCGGGACAAATCAATGTACTATTTGGTCACAAACATTGGCTGTGAATACACACTGCCATTTAGATAGTCAGCACTGGCTAGTTTGAGAACTCCGCCGTGATGTTTCTGATTACAGTGAATCGATGTTACCAACACGCCTGTGGTATGCACCTATGGTGATGTGGTAGATCTAGTTTATACGACATAATCGACGTTATCCACAAACCTTCCACGTAAATGTAGTAAATCCAGGTGACATTAAACACACGAGCAGTCGTCCTTGTGGTGAATCCGACGTTACGCACTAGCCTCCTTGTTTGTGGAGAATATAGTTTACATGAAATATACGACGTTACGCACAAGCCTACTTGTTTGTGGAGAATATAGTTTACGTGAAATATACGACGTAAAGCACAAGCCTACTTGTTTGTGGAGAATATAGTTTACATGAAATATACGACGTAAAGCACAAGCCTACTTGTTTGTGGAGAATATAGTTGACATGAAATATACGACGTAAAGCACAAGCCTACTTGTTTGTGGAGAATATAGTTTACGTGAAATATACGACGTAAAGCACAAGCCTACTTATTTGTGGAGAATAAAGTTTACATGAAATATACGACGTTAAGCACAAGCCTACTTGTTTGTGGAGAATATAGTTTACGTGAAATATACGACGTTAAGCACAAGCCTACTTGTTTGTGGAGAATATAGTTTACGTGAAATATACGACGTAAAGCACAAGCCTACTTGTTTGTGGAGAATATAGTTTACGTGAAATATACGACGTAAAGCACAAGCCTACTTGTTTGTGGAGAATATAGTTTACGTGAAATATACGACGTAAAGCACAAGCCTACTTGTTTGTGGAGAATATAGTTTACATGAAATATACGACGTAAAGCACAAGCCTACTTGTTTGTGGAGAATATAGTTTACATGAAATATACGACGTAAAGCACAAGCCTACTTGTTTTTGGTGAATATAGTTGACATGAAATATACGACGTAAAGCACAAGCCTACTTGTTTGTGGAGAATATAGTTTACATGAAATATACGACGTAGAGCACAAGCCTACTTGTTTGTGGAGAATATAGTTTACATGAAATATACGACGTAAAGCACAAGCCTACTTGTTTGTGGTGAATATAGTTTACATGAAGTATACGACGTAAAGCACAAGCCTACTTGTTTGTGGAGAATATAGTTTACATGAAGTATACGACGTAAAGCACAAGCCTACTTGTTTGTGGAGAATATAGTTTACATGAAATATACGACATAAAGCACAAGCCTGCTTGTTTGTGGTGAATATAGTTTACATGAAGTATACGACGTAAAGCACAAGCCTACTTGTTTGTGGAGAATATAGTTTACATGAAGTATACGACGTAAAGCACAAGCCTACTTGTTTGTGGAGAATATAGTTTACATGAAATATACGACGTAAAGCACAAGCCTACTTGTTTGTGGAGAATATAGTTTACATGAAATATACGACGTAAAGCACAAGCCTACTTGTTTTTGGTGAATATAGTTGACATGAAATATACGACGTAAAGCACAAGCCTACTTGTTTGTGGAGAATATAGTTTACATGAAATATACGACGTAGAGCACAAGCCTACTTGTTTGTGGAGAATATAGTTTACATGAAGTATACGACGTAAAGCACAAGCCTACTTGTTTGTGGTGAATATAGTTTACATGAAGTATACGACGTAAAGCACAAGCCTACTTGTTTGTGGAGAATATAGTTTACATGAAGTATACGACGTAAAGCACAAGCCTACTTGTTTGTGGAGAATATAGTTTACATGAAATATACGACATAAAGCACAAGCCTGCTTGTTTGTGGTGAATATAGTTTACATGAAGTATACGACGTAAAGCACAAGCCTACTTGTTTGTGGAGAATATAGTTTACATGAAGTATACGACGTAAAGCACAAGCCTACTTGTTTGTGGAGAATATAGTTTACATGAAATATACGACGTAAAGCACAAGCCTGAAAGACACTTCTGTTTTCACAAAGAACCAGCTCGATATTGAGACAAACTGACATATTTTATTTGTATATGTCCACAATCTATCACAGGACTCACGAAGCTATACGGTTGGGTTATGTTGGCTCCCCGTCTGTAATGTAGGAGTGGAACCCAACATCGTGATATTATACAGGTTGAGAGCAGAAGCTCCTGTAGCAAAACGTCTTTGCGTATATTGTCGAGCTTTTAAACGAAATGATAATGAATCGAAACTTGATCTTGTCACTATATGGCTGGAATAATGCCGATGTGACGTAAATCCCAACTCAACTCAACTCAATTTAAATGACCTTCGTGTTGAGTACCAAGTTACAGTCGTTTCACGTATCCAGCGTGACATGTGGTCTCTCTATACCAACAAGGAGACTGAACTGATCTTATGAAGTGGTATATGCATCTTATATATCTTGACCAGTTAGATTTTGTTTAAGGAAATCTACCCAGACACCCAGAGTGTATAAAGACATTTCCCTTGTCATGTAGACATTTGACTTGGTGATGAATGTGTACTTCAAGGATATTAAGGGACCGTACATAATTAATGGCAAGGGGGGTGATGATGAATTTTATGGAGAAGAATGTACAATGTGAATGGCCCCACCTAAAATTTACGTACAAAATAAGTGGACCCCCCCCCCATGTCATGTACAAAATCAATGCCCCCCTTCTCCTTCCCATAATTCTAAGCATAATTTTAAACATACTTTTATGTGCAAAATTGCTGACCCCCAGCTCCCCAGAAAAATGGGTGCTCCCCTCCCCCTCAAAATCATCATCATCATCATCATCACACACACACACACACACACACACACACACACACACACACACATTCTTCCAAACTACCTTTTAAAGATTCCTCAGTAGGTCTGGATTTTGTTAGGGAATCGTATTGTTATTTCTTTCAGCGAGGAAAGGAAGTAGCATTTGTTCAGGTATTTGATGCTTATCTTACATCTGTGTTTTGTATTTCAGGAAATGGATAATTTTATGACGACAGTGACGGCTGTTATTCTCGCCTTCGTGTGTGTGACGTCACTTCCGGTAAATGAAGGCGACGATGTATCCAACCTAGCCAACTTACTAGGCAAGCTCAGATCACTTCACAGAAAGAGGCTTGACTCTCACAGCTGGGGACATTTCAAATCTACCTCAGGAAATGACGACAAACCACAGTCGTCGGACTTGGCAGACTCAACAAGCGATGTGGCGGAAGACCCCGAGGACGTTTTACCTGAGGATGTGCCGGACATGAGGAAGCGGCAGGGCGCTTGGAGCTACGATTACGGCCTGGGCGGGGGGAGGTTCGGGAAGCGCAATTACGGAGAATATGGTTTTGGTGGAGGTCGTTTTGGACGAGATGTTGATCATGTGGATCTGAGCGACTGATCGTCTCAGGCCCGATGACGGGTTGTATTCTCCAAACGTGAAACTCATGAGAAGATAAAAGTTATATTTAACCCTGTTCTGTTTTCGCAGTTCTTTTTCTTGAATCCCACATGACTATTTTATGTTGTGTACAACGTTACTTCTTGGTACCATCCCGACTACCTTCTTGGTACCATCCCGACTACTTTCTTGGTACCATCCCGACTACCTTCTTGGTACCATCCCGACTACCTTCTTGGTACCATCTCGACTACCTTCTTGGTACCATCCCGACTACCTTCTTGGTACCATCCCGACTACCTTCTTGGTACCATCTCGAAAACCTTCTTGGTACCATCCCGAGTACTTTCTGTTGACCAGACACAAGCTGTACAGATCACATCTGCCTCCTTGTATAAAATTTACAATGTGCCGGATTTTGTTTCCATAATCATGATGATGTGTATATTGTGATGACTTGTAATTTGATCTTATTTTCCAACAAATATCTTCGACTGACCCCTCAGGAGATAGAAATTACTTTATGTTATGAGACAATCAAATATCGTTTCCAAGTTTCTGTTTGAAATAAAGCTATTACACAAATCACTGTGTTTTAACCATCTAACATATAGATTCGTTGACGGCAGTGCGCTGGGCGTAGATGGCAACATTCAGATGGTTTTATAGCCTGTGCACGTTCAGATATAACACATTGTAGGGCATTTTAAAAGAATATTGATTAGCATAAATTTGTAGTCATATCAGGACATTGAAATTGTGATCAGTAAATGAAGAAACACGTCAACTACAGTACATCTCTACAATGCTACATGCACATGAAAACAAACATAAGACATTGGGTGGTGTGCACCAAGAAGCATGAAGTCGATATGCATATAATGGCGTAATGATCCAGGGTTAGCCTGGCTGGAGAATAGGTGTTTGTGGCCTGTTCTCTTGAGGAGAAATTAACGCGGTATGTCCGGACTGACGTGCTGACGCTTCGACTACATGTCTACCCCACGTGTTATAGTAGACCAGGTTAGAGTGTCTGTGACGCGCTCTAATCACAACCTGTACTACAAATCTGCTACTGCATTAGCAGTTGTGACGTGACACAGATACTTCTGTAGCTGCATTCCATAGTTTCCTTAAGCAAGATCATGTGTACAATACGAGTTGGAATGTTTCATGATTCAGACATACCTGATACACTAGCATGATCAGTTTGACGGCTCGTGAAAGGTTGCCTGATGCCTTTCTCTGTGTGGGACTTGACTCAGGTGATAAATCTTATATGCTTTTCTCTAAAGGGTCGTTTATCATTTTTCGTAGTGAAAACGAAAATGACATTTACTTGCCACATGTGTGTCATACTTTCCCCTTTTTGTATTATTTTCGTTTTATATTTGAAGTTCAGTATGTCGTCGTTAATAGTTTAACAAGTCTCCAAACAAAGTGTGTTCTTTATCTTCTTCACGATAGGTGTCTAGATTGTTATACACTTGCTCATATCGCAGTTTGTTCTGATTTGTTATTGTATTCACACAATTTATTTCCGAAACTGAACGAAATAGGCAAAGCAGGAACCTTTTTTTGCATGACAAGATTTGTTGACCCGTACTGACTAGAGATAACTTTGCCCAAGTTTGAGTGAGTGAGTGAGACGAAGTGACGGGTAAGTGACCTCTAATTCATATAGTACTGCCGTTTCACAGGACATGTGACAAAATGATTTGGGACAAAACTCCCATGCCGCAGGCAAACATTTCCCAGCACAGGTACAGCGCTGACAGACTAACACTTACACGTAGGGCGGAACTGGGATTCGAACCCCAAACAGAGAATCTAACATGGTTGATCGTGTTCAAGGTATTCTAACAAACATTATACCAACCGATAGTGTCTAGCAATGAACGATGTTCTAGCCCGAATGTTCCTGCAGTTGTATCTGAAACTTCATCAGTGCGCACTGTCGATCTTTAAAATTAGAATTTCCACTGTGGTTTACAAGATTAACAAATCAAACTAAGATCAAAGTAACTGGGCGGCAGACATTGGCTCACGAGTCCTATATTGAATGTACAGAGAGTGTCTACAGTTGTGTCACTGAGTGAGACTATGACGAGACTGTTGATGAGGCTGATCATAGCGTTATCTCCTCCGGCAGTGTCTAACGCGAACGTCTTCATCTGCGGCCACACGGTTACAACTACAGCTACAGTTCAAAGTGAAAACAATGGCAACTACTGACACAGAAGAAGACGACCTTTCGTCAGCTGGAAACTGAGATGGTCAGATTCTGCTGTCTTGTAAATGATGAAAACCTTTCACATGTTAAACGCCTTTACAGTCACATGGAAATTCAATGCCACAATTTGCACTTTTCAGAGAAGTTCGAAAACTGCACATGCAGTGAAGAAAAGACCTTCATTTGTAACTGACAGAAACACATCTCAATACAAGATGTTACCGGAACACTAACCCAACCACCTCTCACTGTTCGTGTTCTAGTTCACATGGTCACGTTTCCTCCTGACATTCCCTCACTATACTCACACATAGTACAGCAATTTATAGTTGGAGTAACAAACGAATTGTAAATCACATTGTGACGATCTCCAATATTTTTCTAATTTAAAAGATCACCCCTGAAATCAATGGTGGTTTAAACTATATGGCCGTTATATTTTATGGTGTTAAAATATTTCATTGTGACAATGAATACCGAAAAATATTAAACTTACATACCAAATACTGATGCTGACTTGAAAATGGTGTAGTTTTTATTTGGTGACAGAGTTACGGTGAGTTACCGGGAAGTCAGGGACATCCCTGACATCAAAATTCAGAATACTGTAGACTCATTCATTCTACACTGATTGGATCAATTCAATACACTGTCTAGTCCCTGACATCTTAATTCAGAATACTGTTGACTCATTCATTCTACACTGATTGGATCTGTTCAATACACTGCCTAGTCCCCGCCATCAAAGTTCAGAATACTGTTGATTCATTTATTCTACACTGATTGGATCTGTTCAATACACTATCTAGTCCCTGACATCATAGTTCAGAATGCTGTTGACTCATTCATTCTACACTGATTGGAACAGTTCAATACACTATCTAGTCCGCGACATCAAAGTTCAGAATACTATTGACTCATTTATTCTACACTGATTGGTTCTGTTCAATACACTGTCTAGTCCCTGACATCAAAGTTCAGAATACTGTTGACTCATTCATTCTACACTGATTGGATCTGTTCAATACACTATCTAGTCCCTGACATCAAAGTTCTGAATACTATTGACTCATTCATTCTACACTGATTGGATCTGTTCAATACACTCTCTAGTCCCCGACATCAAATTTCAGAATTCTATTGACTCATTCATTCTACACTGATTGGGTCTGTTCAATACAGTGTCTTGTCCCTGACATCTTAATTCAGAATACTATAGACTCATTCATTCTACACTGATTGGATCTGTTCAATACATTGTCTAGTCCCCGCCATCAAAGTTCAGAATACTGTTGACTCATTTATTCTACACTGATTGGGTCACTTCAATACACTGTCTAGTCCCTGACATCTTAATTCAGAGTACTGTTGACTCATTCATTCTACACTGATTGGATCTGTTCAATACACTATCTAGTCCCCGACATCAAAGTTCAGAATACTATTGACTCATTCATTCTACACTGATTGGATCTGTTCAATACACTATCTAGTCCCTGACATCAAAGTTCAGAATACTATTGACTCATTCATTCTACACTGATTGGATCTGTTCAATACACTATCTAGTCCCCGCCATCAAAGTTCAGAATTCTATTGACTCATTCATTCTACACTGATTGGATCTGTTCAATACACTATCTAGTCCCCGACATCAAAGTTCAGAATACTATTGACTCATTCATTCTACACTGATTGGTTCTGTTCAATACACTATCTAGTCCCTGACATCAAAGTTCAGAATACTGTTGACTCATTCATTCTACACTGATTGGATCTGTTCAATACACTATCTAGTACCCGCCATCAAAGTTCAGAATACTATTGACTCATTCATTCTACACTGATTGGATCTGTTCAATACACTATCTAGTCCACGACATCAAAGTTCAGAATACTATTGACTCATTCATTCTACACTGATTGGATCTGTTCAATACACTATCTAGTCCCCGACATCAAAGTTCAGAACACTATCTATTGACTCATTCATTCTACACTGATTGGATCTGTTCAATACACTATCTAGTCCCCGACATCAAAGTTCAGAATACTGTTGACTCATTCATTCTACACTGATTGGTTCTGTTCAATACACTATCTAGTCCCTGACATCAAAGTTCAGAATACTATTGACTCATTCATTCTACACTGATTGGTTCTGTTCAATACACTGTCTAGTCCCTGACATCAAAGTTCAGAATACTGTTGACTCATTCATTCTACACTGATTGGATCTGTTCAATACACTATCTAGTCCCCGCCATCAAAGTTCAGAATACTATTGACTCATTCATTCTACACTGATTGGATCTGTTCAATACACTATCTAGTCCCCGACATCAAAGTTCAGAATACTGTTGACTCATTCATTCTACACTGATTGGATCTGTTCAATACACTATCTAGTCCCTGACATCAAAGTTCAGAATACTGTTGACTCATTCATTCTACACTGATTGGATCTGTTCAATACACTATCTAGTCCCCGACATCAAAGTTCAGAATACTATTGACTCATTCATTCTACACTGATTGGATCTGTTCAATACACTATCTAGTCCCTGACATCAAAGTTCAGAATACTGTTGACTCATTCATTCTACACTGATTGGATCTGTTCAATACACTATCTAGTCCCTGACATCAAAGTTCAGAATACTATTGACTCATTCATTCTACACTGATTGGTTCTGTTCAATACACTGTCTAGTCCCTGACATCAAAGTTCAGAATACTGTTGACTCATTCATTCTACACTGATTGGATCTGTTCAATACACTATCTAGTCCCTGACATCAAAGTTCAGAATACTATTGACTCATTCATTCTACACTGATTGGATCTGTTCAATACACTATCTAGTCCCTGACATCAAAGTTCAGAATACTATTGACTCATTCATTCTACACTGATTGGATCTGTTCAATACACTATCTAGTCCCCGCCATCAAAGTTCAGAATACTATTGACTCATTCATTCTACACTGATTGGATCTGTTCAATACACTATCTAGTCCCCGACATCAAAGTTCAGAATACTATTGACTCATTCATTCTACACTGATTGGATCTGTTCAATACACTATCTAGTCCCCGACATCAAAGTTCAGAATACTATTGACTCATTCATTCTACACTGATTGGATCTGTTCAATACACTATCTAGTCCCCGACATCAAAGTTCAGAATACTATTGACTCATTCATTCTACACTGATTGGATCTGTTCAATACACTATCTAGTCCCTGACATCAAAGTTCAGAATACTGTTGACTCATTCATTCTACACTGATTGGATCTGTTCAATACACTGTCTAGTCCCCGACATCAAAGTTCAGAATACTAT